TATCAAAATATATTTTATTCTGGACCTCTTTCAGATCTGATTCAAATTACACTTGTCAGAGCAATACAATGCAAAGGGAAAACTGCAACAGAAAAAAATGTGCCTAGAAAGAGATTAAGAAAGGGGCTTTTTGGGTTGGGGGACAAAATCATTGTGATGTGGAACCAAAGTACATCATAAAAGGTGTAATTAACATGGGTCCAGGACAGTATAGAACATCTATAGCAGTCTTCTTTAGACAGTAAATCATGAAAACTGAACAATAAAAAGTATTTCTGAACAAGTAAAAAAGAAAAAAAAATAACGGTCACATGGGCTGGTTTTACACTTGTACAACATTTTGTAATTTAACTGGATATATAACTGAAGAAATGATGTAGACTTTTTTATCCAGTGCTATAGGTAGGCTCACAGAAGTAGACCCAAAAGATTTGCAACTCCAAATCGGAACCTTTTTTTACAACTACAATGTCAAAGTCGGGAAAGAAAAGGAAGAAGGAAAAGAGAGAGAGAGAGATTACTTTCGTATTGTAAGCGACTGTTTTGCTTATCGCAGCCTGTCAAGAAACAAGATTGCAAAAGCACACAAGGAGAAGCAACAACAAAACAGATCAATTTCCTGAATTTATCCAGAAATGTAAAAAATGAAAATAAACCCCACTATGCTTTTATTTATCGATCTAGACATTGGGAAATTACAAAGATTCAGGATTTGTCACAATGACTAGTGGACGATCATTGACACCTGAAGTTAAGAGAACCTGTGCCTGTCTGGGCTTTCCACTTAAAATATGAATAGAGCATATTCCAGAGAAGCCTGGGAAAAAAATCACATTTTCCTTAATACTAGTAGGGTCAAGGATTTTTGATATCAACGCCTTTGCTGCTGTCCTATCCTCGATGACCATCTAGCCACTCGTTTCTGCTCTCTTAGTTCAGCTCATGTTACAGAACCCTTCAATGACTCTTTTAGCCATAAACCCACAAAGCAGATGCCCTTTTTTTGTTGCAACCCCGAACACACAATTTATTTGCAAAGTTATAGCATCGCTTCTGCCAATATAATTGTCATCAGCCGTATAGATGGGGGAAAGAAGTTAGAAACTACCATGGAATTAAATAGTCATGAGATTCTTTAGGACAAAACTAGTGTGTTACATGTATGCCCATGTTCTGTTTTGAATCCACCATAAGGATTATCCATGTAACTGTGTCCATGTGCCACAATGCTGCCCCCTTTCTACCAAGACTAGTATCAATTTCCGAGCCAAACCCGAAGACAACCAACTTTCCAGATTTCCTTGCTTAGTCATCACAGATTTTTTTGCTTTTTAAATCTTATTACAGTCTGAACTTTGTGACGTTTTAAAATGTATGAAGAGATCTCTCAACTATATTTTAGGTAGAAATCCAAGTGTCCCGCGCTCCTGCTGGAAATTAATAATCAACAAGACTTTCCTAATAGAAATATTGTGATTCGAGTCATCTATCTCTTTCTTTAAAACAACAAAACCAATGCCATTTCGCAATGCTGGATTCTTCCACTTTCGGAAAATTATTCATTGTATCGGCTGCAATAGCGAAAACATTTAAATGCATAAAATTTACACATTTTTGCTCCCAAACCTAAAAGGAAATGCAAAGCTACTCATTTATTTTCAAATGGCCTACCAGTGTAGAAAATTACAAATCTTTGGTCTTTTTCACTTGCTTCTAGTTTCCAACAAAAATAAACAAATATGTCTTCATTTGATTTGTATTTTTCTGTGGATGTGAGTGTGTCCGCTAAATGCTATAAATTCCTCCCACTCCTGGCTCCCTAAATCATCCAGGGAGGGGTCTTTTTCTTAACTTAAAATAGGTATAGTGAAACCTTACAGAAATAGGGTTAGCATTGCCAATCCCATTAATAAGCTTAAAATACTCAGTAACCAATAAACATGGATGTTTTCACTGAAACAGTGAGAGATTCAGGATGGACTACATGCAACTGCAGATGGAAGGAAGTCTTAGCCACAGCCTCACCTGCTCTGCACCAAAGTCACTTGGAGCTCGTTGCAAAAACAGGACCACAAAATCACTCCAGCAAGAGTTTCCAAGCCTTGCCCATGGTGCCTTTTGACATCGTCCAACACACCTTTCTTTCTGCACACAACAAATCTCAAAAACCATATTCCAACTCTCTTAATAAAAATAAATAACTCCCAACTGCAAGAATATGTGCCTTATAATCAAGATCTGTGATATTTTTCATCCTGTCATGAAGTTTCATAACATGCCAACCATGACACTGTGATCAGTGAGCTGGCAAATCCATTCCAGGTGTTACAGGATATGTCCAAAAGTCTGACCTCTTCCTCTCCTCCAAAGCACTTAGTATCTTGAACAGGAGTAGATTCAGGACCTCACAGACACTGGGGCCACCAGCTGAAACTAATTTTGAATCTTCTTCCAGTCTTATTTTTGGACTTTTCCAAACAATGATAGGAGCACAAGTCCTGTCAGAGCAGAATTATACATTGTCATGTAAAGGACATATGTATTCGAAAACATCTGCTTATTTGGGAGATGCCCAGCATGTACATGATACTATAAGCTTGAGCAAGAGAAACATCTTTTCTTTTTCTCTAGTTGGCCCTGTTTCTATCTCTCTCTCTCTCTCTTGGAACCTAGTTATTAGACAAAGGTTAAAAATGGCTTCTGCAGGGCTGGCTCAATAGATGGGAGAAAGTCCAAGCAGGCCTTCCATCCTTAAGGCCATCATGCCTGCATTAGCTTTATGAGTGGACAATAGTGCTAAGAAGAGCTCCGTCATATGTAGCTCTTATCCGCAGAGGATGAAAGGATAGCCATGACAATGGAAGAGAGACCCACCACTTCTCAGAAGCGCAGTTGGCACTTCTGAGAAGCTTCTTCAGTTGATGTGGTCTTAAAAAACCCACGATTATGTTTGCATTATGTGGCTCCACCCTGAAGTTGAAAACGAAGCTGGTTTAGAAGCAGGACAACACGGTGGCACACTGACAAAGGACAGCAGCAAAGAAGACATGATTGATCAGGGTTTGCACTCTGAGCAGCCAATTTATGCAAACACTAGATGTGGACCTCTTCTTCAATCAGCAGACTATGAAGACAGCAACACCTAGAAAAGCCCCACAATTCAAACATATTTGCTAAATGCCATTGTCTGCAGTGTCAGCAAAGGCTAGAATCCTATGCTCTACTGGATGATTGCAATGGGGCTGTACAGATAAATCTAGGGCACAGAAGTCTGGTCTTAGCAAAGAAAGCAAGAAAGCACCCTCTTGCCTAATGCCATGGCTTTTAAGTTTAGAATCAAGTGCAGATTATTTGAAGAGAGAGAGAGACTAACTGATCATCTCAGCTATAAAATGAACAGTCTCAAATTGTGTTAAAAGGAAAAAACATGGGGATGGGATTGAAAAGGGAAATCAGCCCAGGATTTGGTGATTATGAAGCCACAATAATGTCTACATGCTATATCATACTTAAATGGCTAGAATCATTTTTTTTAAAAAAACAACTCAAAACAAAACAACAAAACAGTTGCAATAACCAGAAATGTGAACGTTGCTGTGGAATCTTGCAGCTGTGTCAAAAATGGTTTCAACACCACCTCTTGTTTGTTTTTACACTTTTTAAAGTCCACTAAAACATCTGTTCAAGAGCTTGTATGAAAAACGAACAGACTGTCCCATATCAAAATACAAAAGTACTATCAAGAATCACCTCTGACTTTTTTTTAAAGATTTAAGTTCAGTGCAATTGACATTTGTGTTGCTAAAGGAAAAGAAAATGCTGTTTAAATATATTCAAAATAAAAATCCCCCACAAACACTTTTTGTGTCTATTTCTGGGAGCACAGTTTAAAATTATTGCACAGATTATTTTTTTACATTTTCTTAAAACTTTTAATTATTTTAACAATGACAGAGGTCAGCCACAGTCCTGGACCTCCAACAATAAAAAGCAAGATTATTCAAGTGCCAGATACTGAACAGGTTAAGTTTCTTACATACTGTAATTCACAGGGAAATTATCCTGAACCTCTTCAGCCTATTATTGAAACTCTACCGACAGCTAGTACAGAGCCGTATCACATGACTGCTTTTAGGAGTATACAATTTTTGTTTGATTTCTCACAATGCTGTGTATAAGAGTATCATACCCCAGTAATAATAACTGACTGCTTATTAAAAGTAAACAACTGCTGTGCCTTGTAAAATTGAACTCTACTCGCTTCAAAATGTGGTTCTGTGCATGTGCACATAGACATGGCCGAAATCAATGCTAAAAGAGTTTATCTTGATTGTTTTTTTAAAAGCAAGCCATTTTCATTCTCTGGGCAAGTTCACTCTACACATGAAACATAAAAGTTGGGGCTGTGTACTACCTAGAAAGCAGACCTGGTGCTGAAACTGGCAATTCTGCAAGTGAGATGCCCTCTGCCCTTTCTCTATCTACTGCCATATTACTTACTCAGGAGTCTTGCTTAGTTGCACAAGGCAATAATGAACATGCCTGCTTGCCAAAGATGAAGAGTGAGGAAATGTGCAATGTAAGGTCATCAGAGCAAGGCTAAAGTTGGAAGAGATATTATGGGACTAGTGGAGGACAGAAAACATAACATGGGGCTGCTATTTCCAAGGCTTTCCTTTTCTTTTGGGGAACTTTATGCATTTCAAAGATAGCCCTGACTTGGGGGGGGGGGGGGGGGGTTGTTTCTTTAAAGGATTTTTGATTTTTTATTTGTTGTCATTCTCCCTGGAGAAATAGGGCTGGGACACACATATATTCCAAGGATTGTAATCTTGGCCTTGTGTAGTATGTTACTACAATTCTGGTGGGTCATATACAAATTGAGATCTTTGCAGTGTTTGGAGTTTAAACCTCTCAACTGAAGTTGAAACTGGGTGAAATATTAACCCTGACTATCTGTTGAAGAGAAGTTTGGGAGTTGGTGTACTGGTAAACATCTGTTTCCATGGTATACCCTTACAAAGACACTGCTTCGGGTATTATGTCTATCTCAACGTGTTAGAAGTGTATGTCGCAGTGAAGAAAGGAGAAGCAGTATCTGCTATTAGAAACAAAAAACATTGGAGTAGTGATCATAATTATTTCACTATCATAAAAACAATAGCAGCTACCATTCATCCTAAATGTGGGTGTATTGCAATGGGAGGAAATATCACAAGCATATACAAAAATTATGAGGCAGGAGCACCAGGGCGAAATTAGCAGAAGACATAATTTTCCTTTATGGAAGGTCAATTGCTCAGGATTAAAACAGACTTAAAGCAAGTCCTTTGTGGCCAGCTTCCCCCACGCTCCCCCACCTTGCTCTTTTCTGTTCACTTCCAAATTAAGGGGGGAATGATTCACCGGGAACTTCACACCAACACAATGCTCTTGCACGTTGTTTATGTCAATATGTTTTCAACAGAGAAAGTTTCCAGTGAATGAGTACCTTAACAGAATAAACCTGTCTCATTCCAGAAGTGGCAGCAAAATAGATGTCAAAATATTTTGTTGTTGTTGTACAAAAGATTAAAAAAACACACACACACCCAAAAATCAAAACATTTTCAACTTGTTTTTTCGTTATACTATACTAAGAATGGGCAAAACTCTCACAGAAGTTATAGCGGAAAAACACTGGCCCAGATGAATGTTAAGATGAACCAATTTCTTTTCTCCGCTGTTTTGGATGCAATTATGTTTCCAAAGGAAAGGGGGATCCAATTCTCGTTTCTATAGTCCTATGCTGATTTCTGGAATGTACATGCAATGGAGGAAGCCTCCTGAATGAAGACCGACACCTTGAGCAGAGCCTGGAAAAGCTCACTTGTACTACTACAACTCCCAGAATTGCAGTGGCCAATAGACATGCTGGATAGGAGATTCTGGAACATGTAATCCAAAAAAAGCAAGTTTGCAAAGCTCTTTCCTTGTGCCAAGAGGTATAGATCAGGAATTATGTACAGTGAGCTCTTTATGCACAGGTTCTTAAAATCCAATCCATGATGACCATAAATCTGGTTCTAGCACTGTGTATGTTCCAAAAATCAGGTCTTTATAACATGGTCTTAAGATCTTTGTGATTGTACCCTTTTACTTGTGGCAGAAATGATCTACAGTAAGGAATTTCTGCTTTTTTGGAACAGTCACAGTCCAAAAGAATCTACTTTTCTTCTGTGAGCTCTTAAAACTACTGGATCTCAAAATGCAAAGGAATGTCGGACGTAATGTTGCTAAAATTCTGCTTGTCCTCCTCCCTCCCCGTCTAAATTGTGAGTACATAATCCACAACAGATGCCAAGATCTTTAAAAAAAAACCATGAGTTCAAAAGAACTGATGTAAAAGGATTTCCTCTCTCTCCCCAAAACAGGCACCATTCTGAATGACAAAAAACTCCATCATCACCAAACAGATTCACACTCTTTGCTTTGTGCAGCAAGAAAAACTAAAAAAAAAACAAGGTGGTGGGAAGGAACAAGGAACAAATCACTGTCGAAAGAGTATGCAAGTCCATTTTCCCTGTACACAAAAATTGCTCATCACCTACCGAGAAAGAAAGCCGAAAAGGAAGAGGAGGAGGAAGAAAAAAACCCAATCTTTCAAAACTTTAAGAAGGGTGAAGGTGAGGAGGAGTGGGGAGAAAGGCAGCCATATGTAGTTTCCCCAGTTACGGTGAACTCAATGGGCTGCTCATATACAGTTAGGTTTCTCTCTTGTCCTGTTATTTCCCCCCATATCCAGAATGCTTACATATTATTTTTGGGGGGCACAGCAGATTCCAGCACTTGGTGAACAGGCTTCACAAGCTGTGACAAAACTCTGTCATCTTCTTCAGGGTGTAATCATTTGCGTTGCTTTTTAATATTCAGTATATGTATATAATTCTTTCAGGTTTGGCTGTAGTGGACTGGCCATGGTTCAATTGGGACTATAGCAGTACATGGGTCAAGGGGACAGTCATTTTGGCTATGTACACATTCATAGTCGGTCCATGGCTTCCAACTAGTAGCGCTATTTCCGTAGGTCTAGTACACAAACCTGTAAAGACAAGAGGAGAAAGGGGGGAAAGTTGAGATGTTCAGAAACGTACGCGCACAAGATGTGCACACATCCCCTCCCAGTCTTTATAAAACAATTGGAGAAATACATTCAGTGGTTCCCAACCTGTGGTCCATGGACCACAAGTGGTCCGCAAGAACGAAAATATGGTCTGCGGCCTCACCATTACTGCACCAGTGCTTTGAAAACACACAGCAACAAGAGCTATTGGTCTTGTGAAACCCTCTTATAGTGCTTATAATGGGGATGTCAGGAGGGAAGAGGCTGACCACCCATGAAAGATTACTACTACCACATCAGCTCTAGATTACTAAATATGGTTTTCTGTTGGTGAGCAGATGGCAACTCCTGGATGGTATAAGTTCTATATCAGATACTAGAGCTTATGTGGTCTATCCAATGCAATTTTCTGAATCAGCTTCTCAAAAAACCCAATTGTATCTAAACTTGTCCAAAAACTGATTTGTCACCCTTTTGGTACTAATGGTGGACAGTGGTCCCTGTTCTAGTGGTTCCTGGTAAAAAAAAGTTAGGAACCACTGCCCTAGTGAGTTCTAGTAAATGTGGCTCGCATGATAGGATCCACATTTGTAGATGCGGGATATGTTCAAGGTACATATATTGGGAAACTGTAAGGGTGTTATAGATTTGCTATCCTATTTTCATTGTGAAATATCCATTGACCAATGTGCAATCCTAAAAAGAGAAAACATAGGTGATGGGTATTGGCCGCTAACTAAACAAAAAAATAAGAAACAGGAGGGATATCTCAACACATTTGGGGGAACTTTGGTTTTTAACTTTGAACATGTTTTAATGATTTTTAACTGGAATTTTAAAAACATTTATATTTAACCCTGTTTCAATGTTTATATTTGTATATTTTAAATTGTATGCTGATGCTTTTATGTTAAATTGTTTTGAATATCCTTTGGGAGACATAAAGAAGGGTATACCAACAACAACAACAGCAACAACAATAACAACAACTTTAGTCTGAAGAAATACAAAACTCTGCAGGATAAAAAGAGAATATTCCTCACCACTACCCCATGACAAGCGAGTGTGGAGAAGAGCGAACAACAGACCATCTGCTGCGATGTAACCTGAGCCCTGCTACATGCACAATAGAGGACCTTCTTATAGTAACACCAGAGGCACTCCAAGTGGCCAGCTACTGGTCAAAGGACATTTAATCAACTTGCAAACTTTGTGTTTTGTTTTTTGTGTGTTAAAAAATGCAATACAACTGTTTGGCTTGCTCCTGACACGATAAATAAAACCACTACCCCAACCAGCCAAATAAAGATTAGGTATGTTCAGGAGTACAAAAACCTAAGATTACACTGGACTAGTGAAAACCTTGGAGAGCCAAACCCTCAAACAATTTTGATTTCTTCTTCTTCTGAAATTTCCTCCGATGTCACCAGCTATGTGGGACAATATAACCATATCTTGGTGATCCAGGTTGTACTTTCCTTACCCAAGGCACAGAGAGTGCGAATGAAGAAATTAATCTAACAAATAATGATTAGCTGGTCAATCTAACAAACTCTTTCTTTCCTTTTCTTTGATAGAGCTCATACTTTATACTAGCAATTTGGAAACATGAGCTTTTAATGATAAATGTAAACACTGCATTTTCACGGGCTGACAATTTCTTTTTGTTACCATTCAATGTGTTTTACATACTGAATATATGTAGTCAGAAGTAATCATCACTAATTCAGAAGTTGTTACACAACGATGCATAGGATTATAGTCATGCCCATAAACATCTTTCTTAGATTTTTATTAGTCCTTTATTTGCTCTAGAAGACTGATGGAGATGACTGCTGTCAGCTGACTGCAGCAACAGAACTGCAAGATAGAAACAACAACCTCCTCCTGGCCATAAGAAGTCCATTTTTGGGAGATAACAGTTCAAAAGAGTCACTTTCCCCAGGTTTCACCATTTTTTAAAAAAATACAATACATGACCACACCTGTGCATTTAAATATAGTTTCTCTACTCCCTTGTAGCCCATAGATGATTAATTTTATCTCTTGCCTCTGCTCTAAAGATTTGGCTTTGAAATATGTTTGATATTACTTCTAAAATTACTGTTTGGTTTTGTTTGATCCTTTCTGGGTGGATCCTTTCAATGAAAATGGATTCTCACAAAACCCTGGCTATCAAGAATAAAAAGGTTTCTTCTTGCTTCGGGCCGCTGGTCCGTTTACTAAAATGAATCATTCGTTTAAATGTAATTTCTTTCTTCCAACTTGTCTTTTCCACTCCAGTTTGTCTGGAGATAAATAGCTCAAACATACTGTATAGTGTTGAATTGCACATGCATATAAGGTCCACTTGGGTATCTCAGGGTGGTCTATTACAATAGAAACAAACATGTTATAGCATTCCAATCTACTTACTGAACCATCTGAAGCACTTGCTCCAACTTTGTCTCCTGCTGCATTCCAGCAAACCTCAAAAATGCCTCCTGTTCCCCGGTAACTATGCACTAGAGCACCCGTCTAAAGAAAACAAGGTTGAAGAGAAAATAGCAATTTATCATTGTTTATTTATTTATCAGTTGCATCAGTTGCTTTTCTATGTGTTTTAATCTCTGTTCTGTGTATGTTAATATATATTTTATAGAAATACGTTTCAATATGTATATTTAGAGAATATTTACAATGTTTATGTGTTTTACCTATGCTGTAACCCGCCTTGAGTCACAAGGAAAGGTGAGTAGGAAATAAAAGTATGATGATTATTATTATAACTACACACTCAAAAATAATGAGGGAAATTTAATGTGCAAGTAAAAATTATTTTTCAAATCCTAAATAATTAGTTGAAGTCTTGAACATGCTGACAAGGGCACCACTTACATGAATGGCCTGTACACAACTGGCCCCTTTAAGACTGAGAGAAAGAAATGGGTTGCATAGGCTTTCACAGACTAAAAAATCATGCTAGCTTTTGAAGGAAAAAACAGTGGGTCTCAAAAGCTACCATTAAGTATTTTGTGCCATTTGGCTGACTTAAAAAAGCTATTCCCACAGCACGTATTTTTGCTTTATGGTAAACACAGCTACCCTGTGCATTTAAAATAGCATTAAGAAACTGGTGCCTAGGCAGACATACCTGTGTATTCCAGATGTGTACACATTTGTCGAAAGAGCCACTGGCCAGGTACCTGCCATCAGGACTGAAAGCTACACTGTACACAGGTTCTTGATGTTTCGTCAAGGTGTGGATGCAGATGCCTCGGTCTACATCCCATAATCTAACCGTAGAATCGAAGGATGCACTGCCATGGAAGAAAAGAGAAGAAGAAAAGATAATTATTTTATGTATTGCCATTTGCATGCACACATCTACACATTGCAATATTATAGAGTTAATCTTCCACATCTGCGGGTTTGACATATTTGATTATTCAAAGATTTGTTTAACATGTTCTGTCTAAAAATTTCTAGGTCTGTCAATGCAAGCTTATTGTAAAACTTTTGGCACACACTGACCTTAGAGTTGTGCTGAATGACCTATCTCAGTGGTTCTCAACCTGTGGGTTTCAAGATGCTTTTGTCTTCAAGTCTCAGAAATCCTAACACCTGGTAAACCGGCTGGGATTTCTGGGAGTTGTAGGCCAAAATACCTGGGGACCCACAGGTTGAGAACCACCGACCTAGAGGTTCTTAGAGAGAATACATCTCTAGCCATTTGTAGGTTCTCCAGCACAATTCTATGGTCAACTTCTGGTAGAAGTTGACCATAACTTTGCACTGAAGGACCTAGAGATTTTTAGAGAGAACATTTTAATGAAATTTGCAAATAATCAAATCCATGGAACCACAGTGAATTGCTGACCTGAAGGTCAATGGTTTGAATTCAAGAAATGGGGTGAGCTCCCGTTTGTCAGCTCCAGCTTCCCATGCAGAGACATGAAAGAAGTCTCCCACGGGATAGTAATACATCCAGGGCATCCCCTGGGCAAAATCCCTGCAGGCGGCCAATTCTATCATATCAGAAGCGACTTGCAGTTTTTCAAGTCGCTTCTCACACGATTAAAAAAAATCAAATACATGAATGTAAAACTCACATGCTGGAGTTTTGTTCCAAGACTCCCTTCTAGCATTGTCACCAAAATACATGGAAGCTCAAATCCCATTATATACAATGCTGTAGTAAGTTTCCTTCTTTATATAAATTAGCAAAAATCTAGTTTGTCTTTTAGATTTTTTTGTGGGGGGGGGGGGAGATATTGGAGTTGTAGTTGATAGAATTTGTGGATATAGAATCCGTGGGTATGACAGGCCAAATGTGTACACAACACACACACACTAATGAAATTATACAATAAAATTATAAAACCAATTAACTAGATAAAATGCATTCAATATCATTGCTATAAAACAACATTAAGACAAAATTGTAAATTTTGGAAAACAAGAAAACATTTGATTGAGACTTAAAAAAAGAAAAGAAAATAGGACCAATCTCCAAAAGTTCAGGGACGCAATTCCAAGTTTTGTTCCAATACATCAAGTGATGTGTGAACAGTGCCTATGTATCTGAATATGCTTGATTTAGTTGACAAATACGTAGTTTATGCATGCTACTAAATGTACAACAGCAATGCTTTGGGGAAAGGCGTAGGGCATCTTGATCTGTGGACACCACGAAGGACACGTAGCCTGGAGAGCTATTCTTCTAAGAGGAGTCTGGAGGACTTGTGTGCAAAGCTACAAGAACGAAACACCTGGTTCAGCTGTCTCTTCTTCACATGGAAAAAGACTGAAGGTCAAAATTACCTTGCTAACATAAGATTGGCGTTTGGGTTGTTTGTTCCTGGCCCCGTAGGACTCCATTTGATAGTATAAATTTCTTTGTTGTGTGCTTGTAGATCGTGGACACAATTATCTTGTTTCATACTCCAGATCTAAGGCAAATAATAAAGGATAACAGTCAGTGGCATGTCTTATTAATTTTTGTTGAAATATTTTTTCATATTGCAGTTGTTTGGCTTCCAAAAATCTATATTTCAGTAAAACAAATACTCATTTAAATAAAATATATATATATTGTGCCCTGGATATGTGATACTTACTAGCAGCTTACTATCCCCACTATGGGTAAAGCAGGTGTGGAAAAATGTGTGACCCATGAACTACAAAGGGCATTTTTCAGTCCTGGATGACCTTGGGCAAGTCATAGTCTCTCAGCAAATCTTGTGATTGGTTTGCCTTAGGGTCCTCATAAATCAGATATGACTTGATAGCATACAACAAAAATGAATTATCCCCTCTTTTTACTCTGATAAACCCTTGCTTTATCATACCTGTGAATGAACAAATTACTCAATGAATCTAAGTTGGACTTAATGTGATAATGCGATATCATCTGTAGTTCCCAGAAAACAATAAACTTATGGGTTGGGGGACTGAGGCAGTACTGTGTCGAAATAAATGCCCAATAGTGATAGGTCACTGTGAATTTTGCTCAATTTTTATCAATGAAGATATAAAAAATATCAAATTGTGAATTAACTGAAAGCCAAGAAATGGAAATTTTATCAAAACAATTTTAAATAGTATGCCCATAGCACATGTACAGAGGGGTCAAAATCTATTAGGCTCAAAGCCTTGAATAAAACTCAAATTCTGACTGTTCACTGAAATGATACCAATATTGTTGCCAATTCAGCCAACTCACATATTGACATTCTAACTCGGAGATGAAACAAGCCAAATAACCAACTGGCAAGTAGAAAGAACACAAAGAAAACAAAGTTTTCCAATTGATGGAATGATTACTAACATAAATGCCTTTAGCAACAGGTTCATGGAATTAAAGGCCATAAGTGACTATTGCCTTATTGGCCCTCCTCCAGTCTGCTGGAACTTCTCCCATTCTCCAAGAATTCTCAAAGATGATTGCCAATGGTTCTGAAATGACTTACGCTAGTTCCTTCAGTACTCTTGGGTGTAGTTGATCTGGCCCTGGGGTCTTGAACTAATTTAGAGCGGCCAGGTATTCCTGGACAACTTGTTTCCCAATTTGGGGTTGGATGCCCTCTAATCCCTCATCCACTCCATCTTGATGAGGTTGAAGATTACTTTCTTTTTGTGAGAAGACCGAGGCAAAGAAGGCATTAAGTAGTTCTGCCTTTTCCCTACCCCATCAGCATTGCCCCATCTTCTCCTCGAAGAGGCCCTATCACCTCCTTGTTTTTCCTTTTTCTACTGACATAAGAAAAGAAGCCCTTTTTATTGTTTTTAATGTCCCTGGCAAGCCTGAGCTCATTTTGTGCTTTAGCCTTGCGGACCTTTCCCCTACAGGTGTTGGCTATTTGTTTGAATTCTTCTTTGGTGATTTTTCCCTTTTTCCACTTCTTGTGCATGTCTCTTTTGTGTCTTAGCACAGTTAGAAGTTCTTTTGGCTTTTGCAAAAGATGCTTAATGCTTGCTTACATCAGTCCTCTTTGAAGATTCAATCATTTTATTTATTTTATTTAGACTAACCCTAAACGGCAACTGCTGCAGCCAGCTATTTGGATCCTTCAACCATCGTTTGGTTCCTGAGCAGCTTTGCATTCTAGGAAATGTAGTTTACAGAATGGCCTTTTGCAATCTCTTCCATTGGAGGCCTGGCCTTACCAAACTACAGTTAAGATGGCTGTGATTAGTCATGCTAACAGCTCCCTTCCTTATGGCGGCGCCGGTGAAGATGGAGCCAAAGCACTTTAATTAGGCTTTACCAAAGTTGCTTCATGGTTATAGTGAAATTAAACTGACCAGGAGAGACATCCAAATGTTACAGAACATTTACAAAAAAAAATTGGGTAAGTGATTCAAATTCTACCCCCCCCCCCCATCTGCATGCCTCGAAAACAGCTTAGTATGCACAAATTTAAGAAATCAGATACAAGTTCCAATTTTAAACCAAAATTTTGCACCAGCCTACCAGTTAGCATTGTTCCATGCAGACCAAATGGGCTCCTTGTTTGATGCACCAAAACAATTCTTATGGTTTGATGCACCAAAACAATTCTTATGGTTTGATGCACCAAAACAATTCTTATGGTCATCGGGACCGACAGTTGGTATTCTATCTGGGAAGAATGTCACAAGCTACCCACCCAACAATCTAGATGTGAAAGCATTAGCATAAAATGTTTATTGCAGACCTGAAACTCCTAACAATCCACTGCATGTTTACCTTTAAAGTCATGTCGTCAGAACAAGATGCCAAAAGATTACCAGTGGGATCCCATTTGATTGCATTTACTTCATTCTGAAATGAAACAGAAAAAATAAAGTTGAACTGGGCCTTTAGTTTTTATTCTACTTTCCATAAAAGAGATGCAACAAGGAAATTTCTTTACTCAACAGTGTGGTGACAGGACATTTTAAAAATGGAAGAGGATGATATTGAAAACATTGTGGTGTGTGTCTATCTCAAAATTCAACTGGATCCGTCAACTGCAGCCTTAAAGTGGAAACAACTTGTGAAGTTAATGGTCCAGAATGACTAAAACTGTGTTCTAAATATAGTCCACCAAAAGTAAGCCTATTCAATTCAATAGAACCCGATTGTGACTAAAACCCAGGACTGGAAAAGATTATAATTATTCCTCCACATTTGCGTTTATTGACTTTTGCTGATTGGACTATTCACAGATTTGATTAAATGTGATCTTTCTAATAGTATCTATGTCCTCCAGTTTGACTGTGGTCAACTTTCTTTCATCATGATGGGGGACATAGAGATCTCTATAGAGAACACAGAAGCAGTACTCTATCAGATAAAGATTGCATTTTTTATTTGTAGTTTTTATTTTCATGAGTGCGTGAACCCCCAGTGAATAGAGGCGTTATCATATTTCCATAAAATTAGATTATGCACAGTCTCTAGGATTGACCAAGAGCACCTATTTGATGATAACAATTAGAGCACTGTACCTACATAGCAAGGGTATCGCAACTCTACAATTTAGAAGTTAGTACAACTGTATAATGTATCGAACTCCTGCTTCTCCCAAGAATTAACCAAACTTATCTCACATTTTAGAAGCTGTGTGTCATCTGTAATATCTCAAGAACCTTGCAGTCAGTTCCAGATGACTTGTATAGAAAGTCCAGTGAAAGTCCATAGTTTGTGGGAACTATGGCATTAAACAACAAGTTCATAAAAGGTGTTAGGTAAGATCAACAGATCATAACGAAAACTCTTTTAAGTTTCACCTCCAATAACAAGATTGTGTCTCTTAACTTTGGTTCAAATATGTAAGTGGAAGATAACAAAAAAGCATACTTACTGTGTGGCCCTGGAAGGTTTTGATGGGTTTATCTTGGCCTAACTTACAGACATGAATACACATATCTGTGCTACAGGAGGCAAATGTGTTGTTGCTCTGCCAGTCAACATCTAATGCTGGTGCTATTGACAAAAAGAGGACAAAAGTAAGAAAAAATATCTCTTCTGCCCCATGATTGCAACGGCATAGAGGAAATGATTGGCCAATTTATACCACACTTCAAAAATCATAGCTGCTAAAAATGACAAATATTTAATCCAGAAGTGTGTGTGATCGAGGAAATGGACTGTATGATTCTGCATGGGGTATAACAAAATCTAGTCAGCCTAGGTCTCTTTGCATATGCTAGAAAACCTTCCCTCTATCATACAAAATATGGATATATTCCTGGATGCATATCCATGTCTCATAAGCCTAAGGACTCTGATGGAATGAGGAGTTAATGACAACACTGATTTCTTATTGCACTACTCAAGTCAATAAGTTATCCCAAGCTGTTTCTGTGAATGCCCCAAAAACCCAGGGCTTTTCCCCTCCCCCCATTTTGGAAAAGCTTCCACTACATCTAGACCCATTGTTATTGTCCCAAGAACAAGCTGGGGTTAACTGTGGACAGATCTCTGGTGCAGATGTGAGAAATCTAGGTTTAGATTGCTCCTTGCCATAAAGCTTCTATCTTCAGAAACTACTGCTCAGCATTATTGAAATGATACAATCATGTATCCTGTGTCGGATAAAGTAATGTTGGAAATATATTTTGTTCAAGGGGTATTTTAAGACTGAGATGACGCCAAAACCAATTTAAGTGGACTACAATAAGCAACACAAATTAAGATTTTAATGTATACAAGTAGTTCTCAACCTGTGGGTTCCCAAATGTTTTGGCCTTCAAATCCCAGAAATTGTAACAGCTGGTAAACTGGCTGGGATTTCTGGGTGTTGTAGGCCAAAACACCTGGGGACCCACAGGTTGAGAGCTACTGATCTATAGAGTAGAGTCAGATTTTTGATACATAACTGGGGGAGATGAAATTGAGCTTAAAAAGTTAATTATTTGTTCTACAGACTTCAGAATAACCCTGACTGAACAGTAGCTTGACTAAGCACTAATTTAAATAAATATTTATGCATGTTTCTTTTCCAAAGACAATTCAAATAAAAAAACAACAGGAAATGGATAATGTTGTCAGTGTTTCCCCTTCCCATGATCTAGCAAAGATATTTGGGTATACATCTGCATTTTAAAGGGGGGGGGGGCAATACCTTTGGAGCAAATGCAAATTGGTTTTCACTGTAAATTAACCTTTGTTTAAAGGAGTGGTTTATTCTTTTGAAGAGAAATACATACCAGAATGGAAAGGAAACTGCTGTTTGGCTTCTCCAGTATGGGCATCCCAAATAATTGTGGTCTGAATTTAAAACAACAACAAAATAACAGTAATATTGTAAAACTGTAAATTTTATGTATTTTCCCTGCCCTACTATTAAAATCCATTAGACAAACATTATACAGGGCTGTATGTTTTGTTGGGATAGGGTCACCATTCAGAATCTTAGCAAAAAGATACAGCCTCAAATACTGTATATACTCGAGTAGAAGTCTAGTTTTTCAGCACATTGTTAATGCTGAAAAAGTCCTCCTCAGTTTATACTGTTGTGTGGTGCATGAAATGAGACCTAAAATAGTGAGAGAGGCATCATATAAACAACACTGAATTTTCTTTCTGATTCACCTTCTATTTGCCTGGCTTAGTTCTAAGCTATTCCAACACTGAGATCTCTCACCTGCTCTTAAAAAGTCATTATTTGATCACTTTAATGCTATAATATAGAATTAAATTACAATTTGCACTAGCATGAAGAGATCACATCTGATGTCTGTACTGCATATGAATTAGTGGCTGTATGACAGATCTAATCAAGTCATAGAAAATAATGCTCTCTCAACAAAGGATTCCCCCAGGCAGGAAGAAGGCACACTTTGAAACTGCTAGGCCATTAAATGCTAATCAAGGTGACCAGTTGAAACATTCCCACCTAGCTTCAACAGACAAAAGTTATTTCTCACACCCTGGACCTTCCACAGATATAAAAAAACCCATTTTCCTAGTTTCCAACAGACCTCACAACCTCTGAGGATGCCTGCCATAGATGCAGGTGAAACGTCAGGAGAGAATGCTTCTGGAACATTGCCATACAGCCCAAAAAACTTACAACAACCTAATATTACTATTCCTAAACCCAGAATAGCAAAAGATTTTCCCAGGGCTTAATTATATCGTAGCTGCTAAGACAACTCTACAAATGTTGATACCTCCCATTTTAATCTTGTAACAGTGAGTATTAAAGAAGTCTCCTCACCTTATCCACACCTGCACTTAAAATGAAGTTGCCTTTCTTGTTCCATTTTAATGCAAATATGGGACCTTTATGTTGCCCTAACGTGCTGGCAAGGTTACCTATAAAAATAAAGATTAAATTAATTACAATTTCTTTCTCTTTTGTTTGTTTGTTTGCTTACACCAAGTAATTGAACTAAGCTACTGAAAAGTAGGGTACTCACCATCTTTAGTCCATATCCTTGCGAATCCATCATATGACCCCGTCGCTAGAAGTGTACCTTCGCTCTGTCGGGGAAAGTTACAGTTCTTATACTTTTATCTCATAAATCGCAGCTAAGCAATCTAGCATTTTCACTAGGAATGATTGTATCTCGTGGTGAGAATAGAGTCTGCCAGCTGCAATGCTATGCACACCTATTTGGAAAAAAGGTGACGTTGAGTGTTGGGAAAGAATCTAGCGCCAACTTTGAAACTTAACTACTTTTATTTTTGCATGCGCTTTTGTGGATTTCAATCTAGATGAACTGACTCAGAGGGAATGATATGGGTGGTTTTGTTTACCGATGTCTAACAAAATATGTCTTCTTTTGGAATTTTCTAGATCTTCCATGCGATTCTGTGGCATGCTCCTGCTGGAGGTGGACCACAGAGCTGCTTTGGAGGACATAGTAATATGTAAAGAGGTGTCTGTTCTAGGTATTTCCTAGGTCCTCCAGCATGACTCCATGCTATATCTCTTGTTCAATATGATTTGTGTACCCATGTGAAGTCTTGGACGATATTCCCCATGGACAAAGAGGTCATACTGTAATTGATTATCTTAGATTGTCACAATGATCAGCTAAGACAGATTTATGTTTCGTTTCATCTGTGCCAGTGTTTTTTCATCAAAAGGCCTGGTTTCTCCGTGTTTTCCTTGTTAAAACCACACATTTAGTGGCAATGATAGATGAAACCTGTTTGTAGCTACACTTCATCTTTTCTATTTCCTGCCTCCTTGCCTTTACCTCCATTGTGAGGGGTCATAGTCCTGGCAGTTAATTTAAACACACTTGGGGGTTTGGTCATACCTGCTGGGATTTTACGGCTCCATTAATGTATCACAAGCCACTTCTAAAAGTCCACTAGGCTTTCAGAGAAAAGGGGCCTGTTGAATGAATTCTTAGACAAGCCTGCAGCCCTGCTGGGCTTTAATCACTACATAATGGTCCCATATATATGAGATGATGACATTTCAGCAAGGCATCTGTTTCAACAGGTACCATGGCACATGAATGGTACAACAGTAGCAATAAAACTAATAGCCAAAACTCATACTCCCTCAAAGAAATAGCCACCACAAACTGAAATGTTTGAAGCGAAACTCATTTCTTTTTGGTAAATGATAATTTATGAAAAGTTTCTGCTTACATTCCAATCCAGGGAAGTCACATCTTTGTTGCTCGGTACATCTTGACCTCCTTCTCGTATACAATGCCGAAGGACGAGCTGTGTTGATCCACTGGTACTGTTTTCACTGAGGTTCCATATTCTTGCTGTAGAATCTCCAGATCTGCAAAACAAAACCAAATCAAAAAAGGTTACTCCCACCTAATTTCAGAACTTGAGAAGAAACATGAAACAACAAAAATAAAAATTGGTTTACTGCTATTCTCAGTTTCTGAAGGAGCTGGGGGTGGTGACGGTCGACAGGGAGTTCTGGTGTGGGCTGGTCCATGAGGTCACAAAGAGTCGGAAGCAACTGAACGAATAAACAACAACTATCCTCAGTATTAGGAGCCCGCAGTGGTGCAATGGGTCAAATCCTTGTACCGGCAGGGCTGCTGACTGAAAAATTGAGGGTTCGAATCCAGAGAGTGGGGTGAGCTCCTGTCTGTCAGCTTCAGCTTCTCACGCAAGGACATGAGAGGAGCCTCTCGCAGGATGGTAAAAAATCCAGGCATCCTCGGGGCAGCGCCCTTGCAGATGGCCAATTCTCTCTCACCAGAAGTGACCAGCAGTTTCTCTAGTCGCTCTTGAGACACACATACACACACAAACCTCAGTATTGTTAAGTCACACTGTGGACAAGAAAGAGATATACCATGCATTGGCATTCCTGCTCCAACAATCATCATAACTTAAGGAACCATGGAAGAATGTCAGAAAATGGAGGATACCAGACTATTTTTTTTTCTGCAAGTCGCTTCTGGTGTGAAAGAATTGGCTGTCTGCAAGGACGTTGCCCAGGGGGTGCCCAGATGTTTTGATGTTTTACCATCCTTCTGGGAGGCTTCTCTCATGTCCCCGCATGGGGAGCTGGGGCTGACAGAGGGAGCTCATCCATGCTTTCCCCGGATCTGAACCTCCGACCTGTCAGTCTTCAGTCCTGCTGGCACAAGGGTTTAACCCATTGTGCCACCAGGGGCTCTACATCAGACTATTATTTACCAATTAAACTACATAGACAAAATTAGACGAATAAACTTGCTCATTTTTATGAAACCAAAACAAAGTATTTCATCTGAAAAACAACAATGGATGGTAGTCGAAAAAAGCACTGGTGTTGGGACAAGACATTATAAAAATAGCAGCAGTAAACTGCCATACGACCCAGCTGATGATGACTGTCCTGATTACAATCTTACGAAGGTTAGTCTGCTGCCAACTCTGTTCCACTCAGTTATACTTATTTCTAATTGCTTAGGTCCACATTGTATTACAGCCAAACTTATAAGAAATCGTGTTCAGTCAACTAAAATGCTTGATGTACTGTTTAATAAAGAATGCAAACCATCTTTCAAATAAATGTTAGCATTTACTATGTTTAGTATCAGGTAGGAATTCCATCCGTAACAACCAAAGACATATCTTCTCACTGCCTGACTTCTTTCATGCTTTCCTGTCATAAACAATAGTGAAATTTGCAAACCTTAGTAACACTTGATTCTCCTGCCAGGAGAATCCATCAATTATTCTACTGTTTATGTCAATGATACAAATGCTTCCGCTTGGAAGAACCTCCTAGAGCGTCCTCCCATCCTTTGTCCATGTTTCTGCTTCACAACACCCCTGAAGGAAAATGCTAAAATGCTATTAAGGAGATTAGAAGGTTGTTTCCTGTATTCCCACTATGGATTTCCCATGGCACATATTCATGGGCAGAAAAACAAAAGAGATACTCCGTAAGATCTTTTATTCAAGACCAAATGGGGTTTCTTTAGGGGAAACATACCCTGAGGCCAGAAGGTCACTAACAGGGTTCCAGGCGCAGATGAACACTTCAGATTCATGTCCGCGTAGCACCACTGCTTTGTTGGGAGGGATTTCAACATCACCATCCACTTCCATCATATCCGTATGATTATCTGCACAAAAGGACACAAGACAAGGCATATGCAGCAATATGCACAATTACTGATCATATTCATTACTCAGCCACCCATTCTTTTTCTTCCTGTGTATAAATGTTATTAAATTACTAAATGGACAGCAGAAGAACAGAAGGAAGACTCTCAGCTACATGCTATCATATCCCAATACACCAGAGCAGGACAATAAAAACACATGGAGTGGATAAACAACCATATTAATATTACGTTTTGATCCAAACCGATTTAAGTTCCAAAAATATGTTAATTGGTAGTACTTTTTATTGATTAGCCCATTTGACAAACACATACATATATATACAATCCACAGTACAATATAAGTTAAAATAAACAAGCTGTTAACAAGGTCCCGATCCAGATCAAGTATCTGCATCATCTCTACAGTTTACCCCAATCGACTCGAAATATGCAGTTCTCAGCTGTGTTGCTTTAAATAGAAAAAGGGCTGTTTTGTATGTTATTTTAGCATTCTGTCCAGGCAATAAAATGTAGTTTTAATATACGGGTCCCAGTATGTTTTTTGTATAATGTATGGCCCAAGGTATTGGTTTCTCTCTTTCTTGTACAAGTGACAAGGTAGGTATTTCTAGCAGCTTGAACCAGCCAAATCTATGATCATGGAATATGGGAGTAGTATTGTAGAACTTTTGGAGGCTATTAGATTAAAGAAAGCTGGGCAAATGGGTGTTTTTCAATGCTGTAGGTCTATGGAGTATAGGAACTGTTATTTGAAATGTACTGCTGGAAGAAAATTCTGAGAGTGCCTTGGACCACGAGAAAACCAAACCAGTCCATACTCCAGGAAATAAAGCCTGACTGCTCACTGGAGGGAAGGCTATTAGTGGCAAAGATGAAGTACTTTGGCCACATAATGAGAAGACAGGAAAGCTTGAAGTAGTCAATAATGCTGGGGAAAATGGAAGGAAGAGGGGCAGACCAAGGGCAAGATGGAGGTGTGGTATCCTTGAAGTGACTGGCTTGACTTTGAAGGAGCTAAGGGTGGCCACGGCTAACAGGAAGTTCTGGCGTGGGCTGGTCCATGAGTCGGAAGCAACTGAACAAATAAACAACAAACTTTTATTTGCTTTAAATATTGCAAGAAACTTTCTGTTTCTTCCATGTTCACCATGACACCAAATAGATAGATCAATGTGGCCAAGTAGACAGTTGGCAGAAGACAGTTCCACCTTGTCTCCTGTGCTATTCTAATAATATAATATATTGTATATACATATAATATTTTTGATATTGTGATGTAATGCAATGTAACACTACTAATAATGGTATGATGTTATAGTTGTATATTTATATTACATGTAATATTACTAATAATATTACAATATAATGGTACAGTACAATATAGTAATATTTAGTGCTGATATTGTACTATGCTAAAGATATAATGTATTATGTGTATGTATGTATGTATGTCTTGTAGGCTGCTCTGAGTCTTCTTCAGGGTGAGAAGGGCGGCATATAAATGTCATAAATAAATAAATAAATGTAGTGGCCAATCATAATAGCAGCTCCTCATTTAAAAAATGTCTCATTACCCTGACCTTACAACACAAAATGGTACACCAAGCAAAAATCAACTTTTTTCTTTGCATATGCAAATGATCAAACCTTTCTGATGTTTATACAATTAATAACTTAAACTGTGATATTAGATTAAAAATTAAAATGCAATAACAGGGGAAATAAGCTATTTTTAGTCTGTCAATCCATAGTGTGATTAATGGAATGCTGTTAAAGATAAACTTTGCATTCCATTTCTTTCTAAAAGTGTATTTTCACCGAACAGAGAGAGAGAGACAGAGTGAAGATGCTATTCCAGCATCACTGGTATTCAACACAGTAGCGAAAATGTTCCTTCTTGCAAAGAGATGCAGTATCATTTGCGTTTCAGCCAGTAGGGGTGGCTGGCACATCACATTCTCAATTCTTTACGATGAAGGGTGCCTGTGTTTTCCAAATCCAAACATGGAAAGGAATGAAGACTGCTGGCTTTTTTCAAAGAACCTGTGTTTCTTCATGTTTTTATGTGTAAGACAAAGTGTTAACTTTGCAAAACCGGCACACATAATACTCTGTGCAGGAAATAGTTTAGCAATACTTTTTAGGAAAGGGCTTGGGCAACATCCCTTTCCCAAAGTAAGCAATATTTCTAAGAGTTCAAGAAAAGGTAGGTTGTGAATTGCACAGTAGACACTACAGTAGGCTCATTTCTAGCAGCCTGCCTCTACTTGCCTGTTGCTGGGAACTAAATGATTTCATGGATATATCTTGCAAATAACTTACCTCCAAAGCAAAATACCGCTCATTAGCTTTGTCTTAGCCATTAAGAGAGCTGAGTAAGCACTTCTCCTTTGAAATTTAAAATGAATCAGCAGGCTGCAGGGATACTAAGAGTAAGAACCAGGACACACAAGATGAACCTCGGCTCAACCCAACTTTAGGGTTTGATTGTGTGGACTGTCTCTATTAACTTCTTTTTGTGAATTACTCAAAGGTTTTAATAAGTCCATTCATTTCATTCTTCTCTAAAACAATAGCAGGATTTGCACCCTAACCTTCCTTGATGACACATTCCATTGGAAATGATTGGATATGTCATGGATCTAGACATTTCTTGTGGTAGAAAAATGGTCTGCATCCATTATGATTTACTCGTATATTTCGGCATATAAGACGACTGGGCGTATAAGATGACCCCCAACTTTTCCAGTTAAAATATAGAGTTTGGGATATACTCGCTGTATAAGACTACCTCTCTTCCAATGCACACCAAATAAAATTTTTTAAAGTATCAGATTTGATTTCAATATGGTAATTTTCCTACTACTGTACCTCCTTCTCTGCCTCTCAGATCTCGCAAATGTGGACTTGCACTGCTTCACTGCAGTCTTAAGGAGCGAGATCTGAGAGGCAGAGGAGGAGGTACAGTAATAGGATTCAAGGGCGGACCAGACAGGTAAAAGAAGTGTGTTTTTCTGGGCCCAGAGCCACTCTATCTCTTTTTTCCGTACCCCGGGCGCCCCGGACGCCTGCAGCTTGCTCCATCCTTCACTTACACCTTCCTGTTGAGGCGCCCCTTCACCTCACTATCGGGACTGCATTAAGTCCACAAATCCTGATGAGTGGATTTTCTTCTACCGTACTTGTACAGCGTCACTCTTAATGCTTTCATAAAGTCGCTGAATATGGCAGGGACGCGGCCACTGCCATTTTTGAGCTCCCCCCACCATATGCAGCAACCACAGATTCTCCAATCCGGATTGGAAGTTTCAGCACCCGCTCTATAAGACTCCCAGTGTATAAGACTGCTCTCACATATAAGACGACTCCCATGTAGAAGTCTACTCCCGTATATAAGATGACTCCTGCGTATAAGACGACCTCTGACTTTTGAGAAGATTTTCTTGGGTTAAAAAGTAGTCTTATACGCCAGACTATACGGTATCTATAATCTGCGGACCTAAATTAAATGTAGAGCTGTTACTTTCTTATACTGCGATTCCTAATGAGAGGTAGAAGGAAGCCTGTCCTGCAAGGATGTATATCATGTGAAATATCTAAAGACTAGCTTCAAATTTTCATCATCTTCATGTGTATCCATGAATGGACATGTTTACACTCATGACAGTAGCAGCAGTGAGGGCACTTAGCACTTGAAAACCCTTCTGAATAATGCTGAAAAATGTAGATGTGGAAGAGTCAGAATGTTTTGGGTACTACAAAAGCCTCACGTGTGGACACATTACTCTACCCTTTTGCCTCTCAACTGTTTTCAGACAAACACCCAGATAATATCTACTGCAGACACCAAAACAAGATCAGAATGTTCACATGTTAATAATAATTATCATCATCATCACCATCTTTAATTACTTATTAATCGCCCTCCATCCGCGATGCTCTAGGCGATTTACATAATGTGTACATATTGTACACAAATAGTTTTCCATCAAATAAGTCAATCACTAGCTTACTTGCTATAGTGTGGGCTCCATTTTCTTCTCCATTCGCAGTATTTTCGCCATTTTTGGCGGACCCCTGTGGATTTGTTGGAGCTGCTGCCGCCGCCGCTGCCGCCTGCTGCTGTGCGAGCTTGTCTCTATAGGCCTGCTGCCTTGTTTGTACTACATCCGGCATCACGGCGTCTATCAGCGAGAGCGATTCTATCGGCCTACCGTCAAATAACGTACCATCCTAATGGGGAGATTGGAGTGGTAAGGAAGAAAAAGTAATTTAGTGATAGGTGAGAGTTGAATGAAACCTGTAATTTTTGTGAGACATGGTTTATATAGAACTTTTAAGTACAGCACATTATACTTCCTAAAAGTGATCTTGCTCACTTCCATGCAAAAACAAGGGAGATAATTATAGGTGCACTTCAAAGAGGAGAAATAAGTTTATTATAGGGCTGGAAAACAAGTCAAGGGACCAATTAATAATGCAGAATCAGACTATTAATTCTTCCACGTGGGGTTATTAATTGCCATGATTTGGGGAGAAGGTGATTAGGAAAAAAAGGGGACACAGGTGCCGGGAGAAACATGGCACCTGTGTCCCCTCTGGGACATTTGTATGTGTGTTGGGGGGGGGGGGGCGCACTTCATAAAGAAATGAAATAATTTATATTGTTACAGGAAGCCCATTTTCCCTATACCAACCTTGAAGGATAAATAAAGAAGCAGAGATATCCAACCCAATGGGACTATAACATTTTTATAAAGAAAATCTGGAAATGCACTTTAGGAGAAGACACTTGTTCTAATACTTTCTTAGATAACACACACACACACACACACACACACACACACACACACCCTAACATGAAAACTGTGTATGCACTCATGTCCTCTGATGTATTTTTAGCAACACCGGATCTCCTGGTGAGAAGCTGTCTCCCTCATTTATCCTTGCCACTTGGTCTGGTTCAACATTTGTACCAGAAAAAAATGGATTTATTTCCAGTGAACACTGTGCATTCTCTTTCTATTCCATTTCAAAAGAGAAAGAAGACGGATATATCCAAAATGATGGAAATATTCACTTGTCCACTAGATCTCAAGCTAATTTTCATAAAAGGATTCTTATGTGAAACACTGGACACTATGCAGAATTAAAAACCGGATGAACACTCACTTTGATAGCAATCACACAAACCGACATCTTCACATTACAGAAAAATAGTAGAAGAAAAATAATTTGATTGGGAATTGAATAGTGCTTATTTATTGTTAATCTCCATATGGAAAGGTTAGATAGCTATAAATTGGTAGACAAAGGGAAATGAATGAAGAAAACAATTGGGATAAAGTAGGGCATGTATTCAAAATAATTCATAAACAGCCTCAGCAAAACGAGAGTAAACAAAAACCGCCATGCACTTCTGCTCAATTTGATCCACTGGCTCATTAATATTATTGCATAGTGGAACTGGTGTGTGTCTGATCTCCTAAATGAAGCAGCAGCAACTGTTTTAATATGCGTGCATTATAAACAGATGTATTCAAACCTTTCACACATATACAAGCATCTCTTCCGGGGGGGGGGGGGGGAGCTACATCTCTTAGGCTTTTCCAAAACTTTATTACAAGAAATGTATCCACAAAATTTAATATTTGGTAACTAGTGGTCTAACATTCTGGTCAAGGAAAGTTACATCTTAGATAGCATCTCTCCTTTCCATATGAATCAAATGTCACAAAGCAAAGACTATCTTGATCGCAATCCCATAATTTTATGATGCACCCATTTTATTCAATAAAGGAAATGTCTGGTGGACACAAATAAGACAGTATCTAAGATACCGGAAAATGAGCAAGGCAGGAAAATTACGAAGGAGGGAAAGAAGGTGGCTGGCAGTTCAACACATTGAAAGGAAGCATATAAAAGCTTGTGTAGAAGAGCGATTTCCTTACCTCATTAATACTGACTTCTGCCTCTACATACTGCAAGCCTTTCTGGATAATGGATATCAAAGCAGCTGGGGGCACCAAAGCACCGTTGATGTTAGACTGGCTGATATGACTCTCGATACCAAAGGTAAATGCTGAATGAGAAAACCCTAAAGACAAGGGGAAGTTATAAGGATGTGTTCAACCTGTACAAAGAGTTGTTATGTTTTCTGGCTGTGATCTGTGACTTTCAGCATCTTGCCCCTGATTTTTTTAAGGAGCCTGAGTACTACATTTATAAAGGTGATCATCATATATATTGTTACCAGAAGAGTTGTAAATAATGTCCTTCTATTTAAAACAGTGTTTCTCAACCTGGGGGTCGGGACCCCTGGGGGGGTCGCAAGAGGATGTCCGAGGGGTCAAGAAAGACCATCAGAAAACACAGTATTTTCTCTTGGTCATCTGGGTTACATGTGGAAAATTAGGTCCAATTCTATTGTTGGTGGGATTCAAAATGCTCTTTGATTGTAGGTGAACTATAAATCCCAGCAACTACAACTCCCAAATGCCAAGGTCTATTCCCCCCAAACTCCACTAGTGTTCACATTTGGACATATTGAGTATTTGTGCCAAATTTGGTCCTGATCTATCATTGTTTGAGTCCACAGATGTAGATGAACTACAACTCCCAAACTCAAGATCCATGCCCACCAAAACCTGCTAGTGTTTTCTGATGGTCATGGGAGTCCTGTGTGCCAAGATTGGTTCAGTTCCATCATTGGTGGAGATCAGAATGTTCTTTGATTGTAGGTGAACTATAAATCCCAGCAAGTACAACTCTCAAATGATAAAACCAGTCCCTCCCCCCAACCCCATTAGTATTCAAATTTGGGCATATTGGGTATTTGTGCCAAATTTAGTCCAGTGAATGAAAATACATCCTGCATATCGGATATTTACATTATGATTTGTAACAGTAGCAAAATTACATTTATGAAGTAACAGTGAAAATAATTTTATGGTTGGGGGTCACCACAACATGAGGAACTGTATCAAGGGGTCGCGGCATTAGGAAGGTTGAGAACCACTGATTTAAAACAATGGCGGGGGAAAAAACCTGTCACAATCAATCTACTGCTTTTTGCTCCTGGGATATGTTTCTTCTTCTTCCAGGCAATGTAGTAGATAGGGACAAAATGTTCCATGTTGTTTTGTGGCAACCCATGATGCTGAAAAGCACAAGCTGTTAGCAGGTTGGGCCCATTCAGAGCGGACACCGGAATTGACAAAGGATCCAGGAACGGAAAGATGTAAACATGGAAGCCAATCCACTAACCTTAACCACTAGGCATATCCTACTAATTCAATGGCTACAGTCCTCAGTGTAGTGTAAATATCCACATGTGGAAATGTGCTACACCACTATTACGTAAGTCTGATGAAGTCCAACAACACTGTGCAACACAAGTCAATGAATGGATTTAATTATGCAATCCTCAATGAGCAATGCATAATGCAGAACCACACTACCGCTGTGTGAGCAACACTGCTTCTGCCAGAATACATCCATAGCACTCTGGTGAATAATTTTCCCCACATATATTGCAAGAGTCACACATGCATATGTCACTTCTACTGGAATCAGAAAATGCCTTGCCCTTCAACCATATGCAATATTTAAAAAATAGTACAACATTGTGTATAAATGCATATAAATACATATCCTCATATTGTTCCTCCAGGAAGCTGTACTACTGGCTTTTCCTGAATGATTGAATTTGCTCAAGATTTATTTATCAAACAGCATCAGGCAAAGGCCACAGCAGGGAATCTGCTCTGAATCAGAATGTTATATGCAACTCTTTCTTTGTTGTTTCCCCTTGAAACAATGCGGATTTTCTTTCCAATCACTGGTTGAATCATCCAACCTCAACGGTATAGTTGATACGTCAAGACTCCCATCTTATTATATATTTTTTTCTATCTTGATTTCTTTTTAAATTGCATCAGACAAGGGAGAATTACGTCTACACAGGGGAGGATTAACTTCACGATGAAGCACTTTAATTGTACATAAGCACCAGGACCAGGCATGCTTTATTTCTGTATTCCATTTCAAGAGCTGCCTAATTAAGGTTTGCAAACAGGGAAATTAGAATTACTGAGCATTAATGTGTTATTTAGTTTGCTTGCCCTAACAAAGGTAAATCCAACGTAAGGAAAACAGATTCGTCTTAAGCTATTATGTTTTCCATTCATAGGTAATTAGAACACAAGACATTTTCCCTTCTGGGACACTATAAACAGTTGTTTATAGCCAGAAGAAACTGAAATTGTTGCATATAATGCAGAAAAACAGAGAGATGAATTTTACAAGCATGGCAGCTGGGACAGAAGCATAACCTATCCGAGATACTAGGAAGGGGCTATGCAGAAGCAAACAAGTATATTTCTTCATGGTTGGTCAGCACATTTATAAACATGTACAAGTAATCCTTTAAGACAATAGATCTCCGGGATTGTGGCGCAGCTGGCTGAGTGTCAGCTGCATTAAGATCACTCTGACAAAAAAGGTCATGAGTTCGAAGCCAGCCCGGGTTGGAGTGGGTTTCCAACCAATTGTGTGTAGCCTGTTGTCGACCTTTGCAACCCGAAAGACAGTTGCATCTGTCAAGTAGGAAAATTAGGTACCACCTTAAAGTGTGGGGAGGCTAAATTAACTGATTTATGAGGCCATAAAGAAGACTCCAGCAAAGCATTCCAGCAGGGAAGCATGCGGAAGTGCTTCATCAGCGTCGCAGATGGACGATCAAAGCAACAGCTCCACTGGCGGCCAGAAAAAATTAAATAGCCTCTGTGTATGTCTGTATATCAAAAATTGGCATTGAATGTTTGCCATATATGTGTGCACTGTAATCCGCCCTGAGTCCCCTGCGGGGTGAGAAGGGCGGAATATAAAAGCTGTAAATAAATAAATAAATCTCAACCTTTGGTTCTTTAAATGATGATTGCTGGAAGTCAGGAATTCTGAGAGTTGAGAGTTCTGAACATTTAGAAAAGTACCATTCATCAGTTGTTGTACATGAGTGAACTGTAATAGCTACCATGAATCTCTGCTCATTCACTAAATTGGTAAGGATAGACCCTGGTCATAGGGCATTTTCTGAACACATGTTGAACTTGAACAGTTCTAAAGTGGTTTTGTTTCAAAGACTTAACTAAAGTTCAACTGGAGATAGCAGCTTTGCGTCTCAATCACAGAGATGAAAGTGATAAGTATGTATATACCACCTTTCTCTCAGTGGGGATTAAAGGTGGTACCTAACAAGTAGGCTTGGGTAACAACGGAAAAATTTGTTTCTAAACTCGTTTTGTTTTTTGGGGTCCATTGCGTTTCATTTTTTTAAAGAATTCCGAAATTTTCCTTTTAAAAATTTTGAAATTTACGAAATTTCGTATAATTACGAATTGATTCGTTAATGGCGGACGCGATTGCGCAATATGCTAAAAAAACCTCCAAATGGGACAGAGGGAACTTCTGAAGCTTCCCTCTCCCTCTGTTGTTGACTGTTGGTGTGATAAAACAAACAACAACTATAAAACTTGCACCAGACATGCGAAAATAATTACGAAATAATTACAAAATAATTTCAAAATAATTACGAAATAATAACAAAATAATTATGAAATAAATTATCTGATTTACTCCTCACACTATTCCTGCATGGCTCAATATTGGATTGTAAGCTAATTTAAATACGAATTAATAACGAATTACGAAATTAACGAACGAAACCGCCCAAGCCTACTAACAACCACTCAAACTGTACACAGTTTAAAACCAAGAAAATACAAAAATTATAAACAGTTAAACATTGCATACAGTTTAAATACAATCAAAATTTCATTTAAAACTCACAATCCCCCAGAATGTCACCCATTACCTCCCAGCAGTGTCCTCCTCATTTTCCCCCAAGTGACTGCTGGCATAGAAATGTATTTACCAGAGATGGGACCATTCTGGTCTCTATTGGGAAGGAGTTCCACAGCCTGGAAGCAACTACCAAAAGGCCCTCTCTCTTGTTCCCACCAAACGCCCTTGAGTGAGTAGTGGGACAGAGAGAAGGCCCTCCCCAGTGGATTGGAGATGTTTGACAGGTTCATAGAAAGAGATAGAGCCACTCAGATAACCTGGACCGAAGTCATATATGGCTTCTAATCAAGGTGAAAGAAGAAAGCGCAAAAGCCGGGTTGCAGCTAAACGTCAAAAAAACCAAAATTATGGCAACAAGAATGATTGACAACTGGAAAATAGAGGGAGAAACCGTGGAGGCCGTGACAGACTTTGTATTTCTAGGTGCAAAGATTACTGCAGATGCAGACTGTCGCCAGGAAATCAGAAGACGCTTACTTCTTGGGAGGAGAGCAATGTCCAGTCTCGATAAAATAGTGAAGAGTAGAGACATCAGACTGGCAACAAAGATCCGCCTAGTCAAAGCCATGGTATTCCCTGTAGTAACCTACGGATGTGAGAGCTGGACCTTAGGGAAGGCTGAGCGAAGGAAGATCGATGCTTTTGAGCTGTGGTGTTGGAGGAAAGTGCTGAGAGTGCCTTGGACTGCGAGAAGATCCAACCAGTCCATCCTCCAGGAAATAAAGCCCGACTGCTCACTGGAGGGAAAGATACTAGAGACAAAGATGAAGTACTTTGGCCACATCATGAGGAGACAGCAAAGCTAGAGAAGACAATTATGCTGGGGAAAGTGGAAGGCAAAAGGAAGAGGGGCCGACCAAGGGCAAGATGGATGGATGGCATCCTTGAAGTGACTGGACTGACCTTGAAGGAGCTGGGGGTGGTAACGGCCGACAGGGAGCTCTGGCATGGGCTGGTCCATGAGGTCACGAAGAGTCGGAGACGACTGAACGAATGAACAACAACAACAAGTCAAAACCAGCATTCTGATATGTGCCTGAAAACGTTTCGGCAGTTAGTGGTGTTGTTGCAATTGTTCGCACCCTATAGCCAGTCCCAGTTTGAAGTCTAGATGCTGCTCTCTTGACCAACTGAAGTTTCTGAGAGCTTTTAAAAGACAGCCTCATGTAGAGCACATTACAGTAGTCCAACCAGGATGTAACCAAAGTATGTACCACCATGGCCACATCTGAC